TTCCAAGCCTGTGATCCTCCCCTGCAGTACCATGGATTTGTAATCCTGTTGGCCCAAGTCTTGTTCCGCGCCCACTTTGAATCTCCCTGATAAACTGTGCGAGGGAGAACAGAAGCTTTTCTCTTGGTCCCTTCTCTCCCTAGGCTCTCCCTCTGTCCCCCTCCCTTCCCCTTTCCCCCTTCTCCCTCAGGAACCATGCTGCTCCCGGGACCCCAATAAACCCTCATCTAATCAGCACCCTCAGAAGCTGTGTGGACTCTCCTTGCCTGCCTGCTGCTACCAGGGAGCATAGGGCTTAGGGGGCCCCCTGGGGACCCCCGGGGATCCCTCCAAAGGAACTGGGGCAGGTGTAGAAGAAACTCAAAGTGCAGAAGATACACCAAAGTATCTCCAGATCTGCTCTGTAAGGGAGGCTGCTGGCCATGTTTCCTGTGCACATTAGGCCTCTCCCAAGGCACACTTGTGACAGTGTTCACAGGGGTCCGAGGGTGAGGGAAGAGACGAGGATCTGACTCCATGTTTCAGAAGGCTTGATTTATTATTTTATTATATATATTATATTAAAACTATACTAAAAGAATAGAAGAAAGGATTTCATCAGAAGGCTAGCTAAGAATATAAGAAGAAAGAATGATAGCAAAGGCTTGTGTCTTGGGCAGAGAGTCCGAGCCAGCTGTGATTGGCCATTAATTAGAAACATCCACATGAGACCAATCACAGATCCACCTTTTTCATTCCCCAGCAGCAGATAATCATTGTTTACATTTTGTTCCTGAGGCCTCTCAGCTTCTCAGGAGGAAAAATCCTAAGGAAAGAAAGGATTTTTCAGAAAATATCATGGCTACACACACTCACAGCAAGTGCAGAGAACAGAGGTGTCAAGGACTGCAGCCTGCATCCCGTGTGTAAGGTAACCAATCCAGCACTGGCTCACTGGCCCCCTGCTTGTATGCAGGATGAGCAGTTAAAAAAGCAAAGCTGCTGGGAGCACCACAGGAGCCCAATACCCACAGACATACACCACTGACACGTGATCTCAACTTCTTTTGGTACAGGAACACTCATAAGGCAGTGCTGGGTGTAGTTTTTTCACCTGCTGGAAGCTCCCAGAGGAGCAGGCATTTGTCTGCGAGCAGTGGCAAGCACCACCAGGTCATTCAGCAAACCATGATCTGCTTCCCACATGCACCAGCCAGGAAACTGCTGGCACCTGCCCAGCCCCAGCGGCCATGCTCAGGACAGCAGCAGAACATCCAAGTGTAGAGAGGTGCAAGTGAGTGAAAAAAGTCTTAACACCAGTATTAAGGCCTTTGAGATTAACTACCCAACCCCCCCCACCAAAACAAACAAACAAACAACCCACTCCTTTTATGCAAAAAAACTTTTGCTCCAGTTTCCCCACAGAAAATCATACTTGGGAAGGTTCTTCCAGGGAAAGGCTCTAATCCCCATGAGCAAGCACAATGCTAGTACAAGAGATGTCTGCCTCCCTTTGTACACACTCAGGACCATCTGCAAGCATCAGATGTGCCTGAGGGTGAGGCCCCCAGCCAGAGGCACCCAAGAGGCTCAGCTACCTTACCTTCCTTGTCCTGGGATAAGCCACCTACAGTCACAGAGTCAGGATACTTTGAACTATGAACTCTTTGTTCACCTTGAACTAGGCCTTGTGCTGCATGAAAAGGAGAAATAGTATTTACCCATGCCTCTTTCACTGCAGAAGGAGACTACTTTTAAATAGTGGATGCAAATCCTAGCCGTTGTCTCACCAAGATGTGAAAAATGCCTATTTTATGATTGGTTATTTGCAAATATCACAATGAATACTATATGTGTTACATTAGAAAGTTATGCTGTATTAATTTTCTTAAGTAGTGTGCTAAATATAGTTTTAGGTTATAACAAAATGTTAAAATAGAAACTATGCTATGTAAGATACTTTTTTTTAAAAGAGAGGACTTGCACCGAGATAGCAGTCACAGGACACCTAAATCTTTCAGAGAAAGAGAATTTATTGCTCTCCTATCAGGAGAAACAAACTTCTTCCCACTTCATTCAGCCCTGAAGATGCCATCAGGATTCAGAGGAAGAAGTTGACACTGACTAGGCAGAATCCTGTGTTTGAATGGAATTTATGCATCATGTATGAAATGTATGAATATGCAACAGCTTATTGTTTTTAAGGGTTAATTCTCTATTAACCTGTAGTGTCCTTTTTTGGGCTTATGTTGCCCAGAAAAAGGTACTCAGACATCCATAACACTTTGTTTCTATTGTCTCATATTGTCTTAATCCAAGTTGTCCTCTGCTTCAGTTTCCCCACAGAAAATCATACTTTTGGGGAAGGTTCTTCTAGGGAAAAAGTCTAATCCCCATGAGCAAGCATGCAAAACCACCAAATTTATAAAGTCAGTAACCCAAAGACAGTTTTAACATCAAACAGGCCTTGATGTGAGAGAAAACACAGGAATATCTGTACCAGTTCTCTTTAATAGCAAATTATTTTTTAAAATAAAAGCAAAACAAGAAAACAATTCTTTAAAAAACCCTCATAATTGTTGTACATAAGCTTAATAAAATAACATTACATAAACTTTACAAAATAATGTATCTCTCAGCTAAAACTGAGGTAAGCCATCACACACAGCCGATCAGAACAGAGAAACTATTAGCAAGACCATCTGTATCATTCTAGTTTAATTTCTACTAGAATTATTTGTTAGGCATAAACTAGTTTCCCTAAATAAAAGAACCTGATACAAAATTCATGTTGTCAGTGTTGCAAGGTGAATGATAAAAGGGTCATATCTCTATTTCCAAACAGTCTGATTTGCTTTTCTGAAGAAATATATCCTGTCTTTCTTACAATAGAACAGAGGGGAAAACATTTTCAAAGTTGAGTAACACTCACAGGAATTTCCTGTTCCTATGAAGAAAAATGATAACATTACATTTCCCTAGAATTTAGTTTAATCCTTTAAATTATTCTTATTGATATCTGTTAGTCTTTTATGCATGGAAAATACCGAACTTTTGGGAAAAGGAAAGAAATGATAGAAACTACTGGCACTCAGAAGCTATAAGTAGAAACCAACAATAAAGGCACCTGTGCCTGTGTCATTTTACCTCACTATCACCCACAGTTATTTTATCCATTCTCTTTCAGGCTTTTGGTGGGGGGGGCGGGGGGAAGAGTTGGTTAGTTTTTACATCTGCTTAACTATAAATGTATTTTTAAGTCCCAGAGAAATCAAATATATTTGAGCATAGGCTTAATTGCTATCACAAAAAAAAAAAAAAAAAAAGAGAGAAGCATGCTCCTCATTTGCTTAAGAGCTTGTCTAAATGAGGGAGCTTAAATTGAACTGATCACAAATGCAATATTCCCTTCGATCTTTGTCAGACAGCTCAACAGAAGCTACAGGTTTCACAGACAGAAGGTTTCAAGGTTTCACAGACAATTCAGAGATGTGACAGGGCAAACTGTTCTAACCTTGTTCATACATTTTTTAACATGTCTTTTATACCTACATTGCCAAAGCACAGAAATATGCTGAAGGATCTCCACAAATTTCTATTACATTGGAAAAATATACTTAATGACTAGTAGAAAAAGGGAAGATGTTTGTTTGAGTTTCAGTTATGACAAGTGGCTCTTCACATTCCTTAAACAGTGCTTCAACTTCAATTTGTTCATAAATGTAATTCTTGTCTTAATGGCATGAAATCAACAAAAATGACATCGAGTTTCTTGTAGTAATAATTTACTCACATTAATGATAAGGAAATCCACTATTTCTTTTCTATAATTAATAAAATTATGCTCACGGCTGTATTTCTACGAACTACAAATTATTCCCATTACTAACAGAGAAATGATAAGAGCAATGGAATCAATGTCATTAAGAGAATTAATACTGTGGATCAATGCCTTATTCACTAAAGCATATTAAGCCACAGCCTATCAGGAGACAGCTTGCTCAAAAGGATGATGACACACTTCCAACCATTAAGGCTATGCAAATAGTTCATAAATGCAATAATTGTTCCTGACTTTTACAGAAAGCCAGGTGGGTTCATCCTGATGTCTCACATATTAAAATGGCTCCAACAACAGCAATGGTTTCATGGAAATTTCAGTCCGAATCCAGGCGTGTGGGGTTTTTTTATTTCATTAAGAAATTAAGCTTCTCTTTCACTGAATTACAAATCCATCCAAATTCAAAATTTAAAACTAATATACTATGTACTCTTCATTTTTTGTTCATGATGACAATAATTCACTATTAGTGAATCAGTGCAGGACAATCAACAAAATTTTCTGTTTTAAATGGAAACAAGCTGCAGTATTGCAAGCTCTCCACATGTATTCATAGTGCTAAAAAAGTGCTGTTTATGCATGCAAAACCTAATAATTCTAATTAATGCACTGAAAATAGACTATTTAGTAACATTGAACTGGTCCCTCACTATAGTAAACCATTTTCTGTAAGCATAAATCCATTAGGTGAGGAACATATTCTAGTTCTATCCTAATGTTATACCTGGAAATTATACCTATCATGTGGAATTTTAGAGGAAAAAATACACGCCTTAGTTAAAAGGTGAAAAATAGTTTCTTTTCATGAACAAATTGACAAAGAAGTTTTGACATTGAATCTGGGTGGGTCTCTTTTCCTTTCCCTGGAACAGTGTAATTTTTGTGGTTTGTCTATTGCTGCTAACTATCTGATACCACAGAAGAGTTCATTTATTTCTAATACTACTATAAAGTTCTCTTGTATTTCCCCCCCCCTTAATCCTATCAGAAAATCTTACCCTGAAAAAATAATTCTATGCTCTTCTAGTAGACATAAATGCTTGTTTTTCATCAGTCCATAGAGCATCATTATCTCTCCACTCATTACTCAACCCTCCTTCCTTAGCAATCACAAAAAATTACATGCTTTATATTTGAAGTGTTATCCTTTTTCATTTTCTGCTCATGATGTTTTTCTTCTTTATGCAACTGCTGCACAGTCATTGCTCTGGTCGTTCTTTTCACTTTCTTGTGGGCTGGTGATTGTCACCCTTGGACTTGTGGATGCTTTTTCAAGACCAGGATCAACCTCAGGAAAAAGGACAGGCACTGTTACCGTCATCGGGTACCAAAGATTTCACTTCATTTCAATACAGCATTCAGCACCTCATATTAAAATTTCCACAAGATATTCTTAATGTGAAAAACATGAGGGAGCATGTTAAAATTTCCAAGGGTGAGCATGTTAAATTTTTCATTTATTTTATACTTATATATCTTCCAAAGGAGAAAGCACTCACATTAGAAGTTCCCCCCTACAGTTCTTTCAACAAGCATCCAGTTACCCACATATGCATTTAAAGTGAATGCTCATTCACTTTCTCCCTTTCCATAAATAACTTCAGCTTATCTAAAACAAAAAAAAGTTTCAAATATATGAAGCACAGAATAAATTCAGAGCCCAAGAAAATGTCATGTTACTCAACTCTCTCAGCTGAAAAATATTCTTGTGTGTCATGCAGGAACAGAAGAAAGTCCAGTTGCAAAGTTCAAGAAACCACTCCCAGTGTCACAGAAAGCAGAGGAAGAAACACTTTTTCAGCAGCCTGTAGGCAGGGAATGTGCAGCAATTTGCTCTGCTACTGACACTCATGAATCCCACTCTTCCCAGACCTGGATTCTCCCCATCAAACAAAACATTTTGTTTCCCACACTCTGTGAGCTGGTCAGTTCATCTGGCAGTCAGGGGAGTTCTCCTTATTTATGTGGGCTGCATCCCTCCATCTAAGCCAACAGTATGTTACCAGGTATCCTAAATTACTGGATATTTGCTTTTAAACTGACTAAAGCTCCTTTCTTTGAAGGATCTTGTTCATATCCACTGTATTTTTCAATTTCTAAGAAAAAGAGATGAAACTTCCACAAAACAATGGCAAAAGCTCTTTATGAAATGTAACTTTTGTGGAAGTCAATTCATCAAAATAATGAGGCACTGGTGTCATGAACACACCTTTCTGCTCTGTCCTAGAAGACAAAGTAGTGTAGAAATATATAATGATTCTGCTTTTCTGGAAACTGCAAGAATTTTTTTTCATTACTTTTTTTTCAAAATTCAGCATTCTAAGGAAAGTAGGAGATGCAGATTCATTAAATATTGAGAAACATCTGCTCTCTCAGTCAGAGGGCATATAATGTAAATACTGATTTAGCTGATCTATACAGATGAAAAACAACTTTACCACAAACCAAAGTTCTCAAAAATGGTCTCAGGACTTTATCAGAAACTCACTACTTAGAGAGCAGATAAGAACCATAAGGCTGAGATGAATAAGGAACAATACCATAAGAAAGTTTGGAAGAATAAACACTCACCTGGTTCTGACTACCAGAATCCTCTTTTATTTCTTCTTCAGGCTGAAGATCACCTTGGTAGTTCAAATGCTCCATTCCCTCAACATTTCCTTCATTGTTTTTGCCATTTAAATGGATAAGTTCCTTTTTCTCTGCTTGGTCAACATTCTCTGTTTCTCCTGCTTCATCTTCATAATTTTCATTTAATTTATTTTCATTTTTTTCCACTTCAATTTTTTCTTTAACAGTTTCCCCACTTTCCTCTCCATTCACTTCTGGATATTCTCCTTTATATGCCTCCTCTCCCCTGTCATCTTCCTCTTCTACATTTTCTTCTTCATCTACAGTTTCTGCTGGTCTCTGGTGAAAGGAAAAGCAGAAGCATTAGGGGGTATTTTAAATCAGAATGCTCCGTGCAATTCTGAAACATGACAGACATCAAATTCACAATTACATCATTACTGAGGAGTAAGTATGCTAATTTGAGCTTTGTCTGCATGGACAGCAAATTATGCTCCTGTACTTACACCCCATAATGCCATTTTATTCTTCATTTCCAAAATGTGTTGGTGAGATTTTAATTTATTACATAGAGTTTAATCCATTTTACTACACTCAAAACAATTGGAATGAGCTAAATTTAATTGATACAGAAATAGCTTCCTCTGTTCCATATATTCCAGGTTCTCTGACTTTCTAGTATCTAGTACATACTTGTTTATAAAGTCCTGTCACAAGAAAATATCATGTATTAAAAGCCTGTAAGCTGTTCCCCCAGAAGCATTTTACCTGTGGACCAGGCCATGCCATGACCATCAGTCTTGTCTTCTTTGAATACACAGAAAAGTGGTTAGAGAAATGAGGTAGAGCTACCATTGGTCACTTCCAAGACATCATTCCCTTCCCACAGATCCCTGTGTACAGTGCCTTGGTTAGGTTTTGCTGGCCATTTGGCAGCATTTTTTTCCTACACAGAATTCAACCAGCAGCCGGAAGAAACAAGATCTTGCCTCACCTTGTAGAAGAGTTATCAGAAACTCACTATGGATAAAGATGCCGGCAGCATCATCTCATGACAGCCTGGGAGATGGGTGCACAAATTATCTGGTCTTTGTCATTTGCCTTCCAGTTTCAGCTTTTTTTCACCTGACTATTCAGTCCACCAATGCTCCCACCTGCCAAGATTACTTACATACTTGAGCTGAGGTATGAATGAAAATAAAGTGAAAAAATCCCACAGGAGTGACAAGGTGTCTGCCTCCCACCTAGCCTCATCAGACTCTAAATCAAAAGCAAACAAGCAATAGATTATATCTCCTAATCAAAACTGGAATTTTACTGTCCTCAGTGGTTCCTTTATGCAAGCAGCTATCTGCAACAGAGAAGTTGTCTTCTAAAAATTTCTTTTCCTCACTAATCATAATATTTCAAAAGAAATCTCTCATCACCTTCAAGGTATTAATAAGAGCCAGTTCAGTAAGATCAAGAATTTATTGATGCCTCTTGATGAAACATCTTGATTTTCCTTTGATATCTAAGTAGCAACATCACACAACTTTATTATGCCAGTGCACAATGCCCTATTGGCACAGCTGCAAAATGAACAAGTTATTGTGTTGCAATAATTCACAGAATATGGAATTACTACTTGGGTACACAACCAGGTAAACAGTGGCTCCATAAGTGATTTTTGAAGTACAGTCATTTCTATGTGTTTTTTATTCAAGCCCTTCTGACTCACTTTCATCTAGTACCATCAAACTGGCCTTATTGCCACTAAAATAAAACTTTAACAAGCCAAGACTTTACAGAAACCTTCAAAGAAGGCACCATCCAAAGCAAACTTGATCCAACCTTCATAACTTGCAGCACATAAAAATAGCAAAGAATATGTAAATCCATAAATTCTCAGAAGTTACCTGCTACTCTTAGACATGTTATCTACTAATTTTCTTTCATTCTGCTAAGGAAATTAGCAGCTTTGAATTCTGACCAGAAACAGGAGAGGGTGGGACAAATTACATGCACCAGACACCACTAACTAAAAATGTGTTTGGCTTTACTTAATGACATCTGCTTGCCATGGCATTGCACACACTAAATGAAGAGAAGATGAGAAAAGTCAACACATACTTTCTCAGTTAACTGTTGGAGTAATCCAAGACATTACAATTCCAGCTTTTTGGTAGTGGGTACAAGCAGAAGTGAATGTATGCTCTTGCCTGCATGGCTTTAGTATGGTGGCTCGTTCTGGACTGCAGAAGTAAGCTTTATGCCATGCTGTAAACATATGCATCCCAATGCTTTAACTGGTTTCACTCTGTGGAAGCAATCTTTGGCATGGAAGCACAATGGACATTTGAGGGACAGTGATTTCCTAAAGTGCTGTGCTAGCTAGATTCATTTCATCTTATCTATCTCAAATAGATGTGGATGCAAATTTTTGAAGAGTTAAATCTGAGCAACATAGAATATAAACACAGCATTACTGAACTGTGCCCAGAAACTCACTGAAAGCTCACAGAGAATAGTACTGGCATGAAATAACATTTCAATTCCAACTAATTTAACTTGATCAATCAAGCTGAATTACAGGAAAAATAATAGTAGAAAACAAACTCCCAACAATGCAAGTATAATGTTTTTACAGTAACTGAAAATTTCAAGATAGCTGAGCATATTACTACAATGTCATTATTATTACAGACAAAAATAAAAAGCCATATTTTCAGCTAATTGGAAAGCAAAAGACATTCTTAATTTAATCTCCTTTCAAGCTACACTACATAAGAATGGACATTTCAAACAAGTTAAAAATCAACACTGATTCATTACTTTTCACAAGGTAATTGTGTAGTTATACAAGAGTATTCATTACTTTTCACAAGGTAATCTGAAATGTAATACAGTTCCCTCTGCATGCAGAGTCAAAGGTAGCCTTTCAAATGTGGATATGACCACTGACTGTGCATTTCAGACTGCACAGCAGACGTAAGACAGGACTATAGGGAGGAAACTGAAGGCCAATATCACCCACCAAATAGTATATTGCTCTTTACATTAGAAAAGTGTGATACTTTCTACTGAGATCTTACTGACCTACTCACTATGCATAAATTAGCATTCTCTATTTTAAGTACACTTTCTTCACTGACAAAGAGGTACACTAAGAACATTTTGGATTTTTCACATTTAGGGAAAGAAATGTTTATCTGCATATATACATGCAGGGGAGAAAACAGAAAAAGGGAGAAAACCAGAGGTCTTAATAGTGCAAAGCCTGTAAATGCTGTACATGCTTAACTTTACCTTCTTGAACAGTTTCAGTGATAGCAGTGATCCTGAAATTTTGAACTAAAGCCTACATTAAAGTACTTGGCAGATCAGGGTGTAACTTAAAGTCCCTTGGAGTCATTGGGAACCTTTTCATTGAATTTGATGCAGTCCAGCCATACCTCCACCTACGACCGCACAAATTGCCTATTATATATGCACCAAAATTACCACAAACTGTGCTCCCTCAGTCAGAATAAACCAGGATGGGCACACTGAAAGCAAAACAGGTATGCTGAATGAGATCAACCTATCCTTGCAGAAATTATCAGACTGAAGTCAGCAACGACCTTGTATACTGATGAGGAAGCAGTGACATTTCCCATCTTAGTTTTTAGCTTTTCATCAGTCACCTTTTAAATAATCAAAATATTCTCAGTTAGAACTTCCTGTATGGAATGAATTGGATGGGTATCCCAGACAGAGGTGAGGCTGCTCTTCTTGTTGCTCAGAAGCCAAGAGTTCAGCCTTCAGCCATTGTGTTGGCTCACAGGAATTGTCCCTCACACCTGTGGTTCCTATAAAAGGTCAGGGCATCTCAAATCCAGAGAAACAGCTATGGATATATCTCCAGGTCTGAGGGACCTCTATGTAACACAGTTCTCATAAGGATATCAAGGATTGTAACATAGAACAAAAGGCACATCAAAAATTCATGTTGGAAGCAGCCAGCCCAGTGTAACTGGACATGGATACTGTAATGAACTACAGAATAAATGTTCCTGCATTAATTTAGTCCCATCTACACACCTCAAAAAACAACAGCAAAACTTGAACTTGGACTGGAGAAGCATTCTTGTTCCTTAAGGTAATTTTCACAGTCAAGTGAATTCTAGAGCAGGGAGCTTTTCCAGTCACTGTGCTAGATTATCCCCATTCCTCCTATAGCCAGAACTAACCATAATGAGGTTTGTAATTTTGCCTTTTGCATGGTTCAAAGAAAATAGGAAGTAACCTTCCTTTTTGCATTGCTGGATTCATCTTCTAAGCAAAGGTGATAGTTTTGCAGTTTCATGCTTGAAAGCACATTACTTAAAATAACTATTTTTGAAACCATACCTGTGTGAATGTGAGAAAAGTTCTTTGCTTGTCATGGACTAGCAATAAAAAGAGTCACTGGCAAAAGACTTGCATATGTACATTGAAAAGCATATTCAGCCAAAGGCATGCAGAAAAACTGAGGCAGTTCTCAGCTTCTTGCTGGAAATACAGACCCAGCTCACCTTCTGGAAACCTCCTGAATTAACTAACAGGTTGATGAGAAACAGAGCCAATTTCATTTTGCATTCAAGAATTGCTTGACAGTCTTTTTAATCTCAGCAAAAACAGAGTGTTTAAAAAAGAAAGACGTATTCTAATTACACTCATCATGCTATCATTCATTAAGAGCTACATTACCAAATGCCATCATCACTCAACAGCAGTAAGTCAGGAAATCTTCAGACATTGAAGCATTTGGCTTATTTTCCTCTAGGGATGCTAATGCAAACCTCTCAGAAGGTTTGTACATGACTGATACTGAAATGTGCAGTATGAAAAAATCATTTAAGGCAGAAATTATTTTGTACCATTAATATAAAACATAATTTTGTGTTATTGAAGTCGTTTGGAAATGTTTACTTGGCTAATGGTCACAGCAGACAAACAATGAGGTAGACAACAAAAATCTTAATGGTCATGAAGAGCAGCATGAATACATCTCAGAAATGCAGCAGCAGGAACACTTGACTTCAATTGCACCAAAGCTCTACAGAACAGAGCTCCCCTGCTCCTACTCAGGAATGTTTTGTAGCAGCACTGCATAGATTCCAACAGCAAAACATTTTGTTCCTGAACCAGAAAGTGTTGCTAAGTGACAGCAGCCCTCTTCTCTTCCACATCATTTACAAAACCCAGGCTCTTGAAAATAAGCAAATGAATAGTTAAGGTTCAACTGTCTTACACTTCCCACATAGTTCCTACATTTGCACAAAATGCACTGTTCCTGAAAGCAGAAAGTATTTATCCCTACAACATTTAAACTCCAA